GCCCGCCGCGCGGACGAGCCCCGCTCCTCCAGGCCATCTCCTCGAGCCGCTGGCGAGCGCAAGCGAAGGGCCGGGAATTCCTGCGCTTTCCTCCCCCGAGAGCCACCGAATGCCGCTGGGGCAGAGCCGGCTGCCCGGAGATTAGCCAAAGAGGGTGTGGGCTTCTCGATAAGGAGAGGCATGCCTGAGCGGGCACCGAGTCATCTGCTGCCTCGCGGAAGCGGCGGAGTCGCGCCGGGGGAAGGCAGCGCCGCCGAAGCGCCCCATCCATCCATCCATCCACCGGCGCAGCCCGCCCGGGCGTAAGGCTGGCTGCGCGCCCCAGAACCACGCGCTCGCTGCGCCCCCCGGGAGCCACGGCCAGGCAGGGCTGCGAGGCGAGGCCCGGGTGGAGGAAAAGCGAAATCCCGCTTCGGCTTCCTCCCCGGCCCCGCCGGCCGCGTCCTAATTTTGCAGGGAATTCCTCTCCGGCCCCTCCCTGCCTCCTCCCCCCTCGCAAAAGGCTAGCCTCTTCCGCTCCGAAGAGGTCTGCGTGGGCGCCCTCTGCTCCGGGAGCACCCAGGCGGGGAGGAGGCAGGGTCCGTCCAGCGCCCTCAAGGCGGAGAGCCACCTCTTCCCTCCCCCGCGCTTTTCCACGTGCACAGATTGCCTGACATCGCTCCAGCCGCGGAGCTCAGCGGCGCTGCGGGCAGGGCGCCGAACGGGTTAAGCGGGCGCGTGGACGCGTTGCAGGCTGGGAATTGTAGGCGGAATGGAACGGGAGGCGACGATGGGCTTTCCGTGCAAGAAAGTCTTTAAAAGAAAAAGAAAAAAGAAAGAAAATCCCTGTTGATGTGAAAGGGGTTTGGGGGTGACCTGCTTACGTTTAATGGTTGATGTATTGCATTACATTTCCATCGCTTGGAATGGCAGCTTCCTCATCGAAGTTACTCTCACCTATAAGGTGAGGGAGGTGGTGTCGTGCAGCTGTGAAGCCACGGCGAAGTTGGTTTGAGCTTGGCTTCATGGGCTGTCTGAATCAAGTGACTGTGGTCTGTGACCGTCACTTAAGGGGGAGTGTGCTGTGCAAATTCAGCCGTTGCGAGGTGGAGGAGTGGTGGAGGGTTTGCAGTTTTTTCCCCCAGTGAAGTGAAAAGTGAGGGAGATTCCTTAGGAATTGGGGTTTAATTTAGCCCCCAGCTCAGCTGCAGGACGCCTGCCATGGAAGGATTCTGGAACGTGTGAAAGTGCTTTAAATGTCCGATTTAGCAAAACTCCTAATACAATGTTGTCCAAACTTGGCCACTTTAAGATGAGTGGACTTCAACTCCCAGAATTCC